AATAAGAATACAATTGACCATACTTTTAAGTATGGAGAATCTGATGTATTTCTAGTAAAGACATTAGCTGTATAACCAAACATTGAATCTTGGTAATAGAAATATCCACAAATTAATCCAATTACCGCACCAAGAGATAGTACGAAATGGAAATGAGCAATTACATAATAAGTATCGTGTAAAGCAACATCTAGAGCGGAGTTACCTAAAACTACTCCAGTAGTACCTCCTAATGTAAATAAGAAAATAAAACTTAAAGCATACCAAATATCTAATGATATTGTACTGAATGGATTTCCCATAAAAGTACTTAACCAATTAAAGATTTTGGTACCAGTAGGAATAGCAATCATCATTGTAACAGCAGAGAAATATGCTCTAGTATCTGTCTCTAGACCTACTGTCATCATATGGTGTGCCCATACTAATGAACCTAAAATGGTAATACATCCCATCGCTAAAATCATAGCAGGACCTCCGAATACTAATTTACCTGCTGAAGTAGATAATGTTTGTGAAATTACACCAAAAGCAGGTAAAATAATAATATAAACTTCTGGATGACCAAAGAACCAGAATAAATGTTGATATAATACTGGATCACCATTAAATGCAGCATCGTAGAATTGAGTATTCAGATGTAAATCTAATACTAACATTAATAATCCACCAGTAAGAATTGGAAGTGTAGCAATTAGCATAATGGCTGTAAATACAATAGCCCATGTAAATAAACACCATGGTTTTGCACCATTAGTTACACCTAATACAGCAATAGTTGTTAAGAAATTTACGGAAGATAAAAAGCTAGAAATACCCGCAAGAGCTAAACCAAATACAATTAAATCTACTGAAGTTGGAGATAATGACATTAATGATGTACTTAATGGAGGATATAGTGTCCAACCAATACCTGACCCGAATTCAGAAATTAGTGATGTACTTACTACAACCCAAGCAATTGGTACAAGTAATAATGATACACAATTTACTCTAGGAAAAGCTACTTCTGAAGCTCCTAAATAAATTGGTAAGAAGTAGTTACCATATCCACCATATAGACCTGGCATAACTACAAAGAAAATCATAATAGCACCGTGTAGTGTAAATGCTAGGTTATAGAAATTTTGATTTTCTAGCGCTACGATACGTAATCCAGAAGAACTTAACTCAAGTCTAATTAATACTGATAGTAATGTACCTACAATTGAAAATAAGAAAGCAAACCATACATAGTAAATACCTAATTCTTTATGGTTTGCAGCAGTTAGAATACTAGAATTAGTATATAATTGTTGAAATTTTTTGTAATAACTAACTATAGTCTTATAGTCTAAATAAGCTAAATGTACTTAAAAGATAGATTACGGTAAAGAATCTACCATAAGAAATGAATACTTCTTGAGGTAATTGAGCTCCAACAATAATAAGAGCAATAAATGAATATAAATAAATAATACTCCAAGATGTTGCACAATTTCTTGAAGAGAATTGTTGACGTAAGTGTAGTACACTAGTAAGTGAACGAACTTCACTTAACAGTAATAATAGTAAAATACTACCAGCAAATACTAATAGACCTCCAGTTTTACTTGGAATAACTTTTAAGATAGCGTAATATGCTAAGAAGTACCATTCTGGTACAATTTGTAATGGTGTTACAAATCTATTTACAGGAATACTATTATCTGGATGTGATAATTCTAGTAAACCAAAGAATGATTGAGCTAATAGAAATAAGATTAAATAGTTAAATCCTTTTCCATCTGTACTTAACATATGAGGATAGAAAGGTATTTTTAAAGCAGTTTCTGTACCTAGTGGATTACTAGATCCATTTAGATGTAGATAGAAAATATGTAACACAGCAAGGATTAGACCTAAGAATGGTAAAACAAAATGTAATACAAAGAATCTTTTTAATGTAGGACTATCTACATAAAAACCTCCTAATAACCATGTTACAAGATATGGGATAGGTGACAATAAATTACAAATTACAGTAGCACCCCAAAAGCTCATTTGACCCCATGGTAATACATAACCTAAGAAACCTGTAGCAATTGAGATGAAATAAATAATTAATCCTGTAATCCATGTTAGACTTAGATATGTATAACTACTAAATACCAGAGCTCTTAAAATATGTAGAAATAAGCATAAGAATACACATGATGCTCCAGTAGCATGTAGGAATCTAAATTCCCAACCGAAAGACACCTCTCTTAAGATATGCTGTACACTAGCAAAAGCATGTGACATTTCACTAGTATATCTAGATGCTAGTAATAAACCTGTTACAATTTGAACAACAAAGGAAATTCCTACTAAGAAACCAAAATTCCAAAGGAAATTCATATTAGTTGGACATGGATATGATTGTAGATGAGATCTCACTTGAGACATTAAAAACATAAACGAGTTCAGTTGGCCTGGCATCTGTTTCTTTTCAGAACGAACGCTTTTTACGCCTGGTATGGATGGATAACACTCGGCTCTTCAATAGTATGACCGCTACTGCTGGGACTTTGTCTCTTGTAACTTTCAAAGTAACCATCAAGCCTTATTTTTTGTAGCACAAAAAATAACCCAAGCAATCGGATCGTGTTGGCTAGGTGTACTAAATTTTTATATTAAAAATAGTACTATTAAAAATAATACTATTATAAATAATACTATTATAAATAATACTATTTAAAATAGTAAAATTAAATAATAAAAATACAGTTTCCGCAGCTGTAGATGGATGCTTTGGTAGTATAGCCTAAGGTTATTGTTTCGGACAGAAACTACCTAGATAAAGATGCTCTACACGCCAAATTTTTGTTATTAAAAAATTTGGGCGCATCTTTACTTGCCTTAAACACACCGCTCGTCACGCGAGATAAAACATGATAACGAATATTGGTAGAGCGTGGAAAGGTTCCCGTGAGGATAGAAATGAAATAGATAATCTTGAAAGAGATAACTCAACATGATATAAAAACTAGGGTAAACGGCGGCTGTAATCTGACGGTCCAAAGGTAGCAAAATTCCTTGTCGGGTAAATTCCGTCCTGCATGAATGGTGTAACGACTTTCCTAATGTCTCTAATGTAAGACTTTTTTAAATAGAAATATCCTTGAATATGAGGAACCCTATGGCCCGACGGTAAGACCCTGAGCACCTTTACTTCCCTTTTAAACAAAAAATAAGTGTGGAGAGAATCATCTTTGTAACTCACCATCTGGAAATCGAGAGAGATGCCACTAGTTGTCTTTATGAATCGTGGACAATTCTTTGCCTGGAGGTTGTAATGGTCCGTACAGTATCAAGTAAGAGGAATGTTAGAGGTAAGAGACTAGCGGTGGAGCACAAAGTTTCATTCGAAAGTACACGCTAAACCTTACCATGCATAAAAATTAATATATTAAAATATTTTTGGTATTGCATGCCTGGTGTCATTTAAAAACTTTTTAACCATACATGAGATCGCTTATCTGGACCGATAGAAGCTGTGAGATAACTACATTAAAGGAACTTGACAGGCAATAAAATATGATTTCTATTATTACATTAACAAATGTATGCTTGGAAGCTGTTCTCATAAAAATCAGTTTTTGCATAATCCAGTCAGGGATACTTTGCATTATCCTATGCTCTATTACATCACAGCTATTTTTTGAATTGACCGGTATTTACGAATCTTATCACCATGGATAGCTGAATCTATTTGATTTCCATTACTCAAGTCAGCATAGTCAATATGAAGGTATTTTATAGTTCAAGTGAGTTCGCATGTTTACGAGATCCCGTATATTTCTTATAAAGTATAGAATGTAAAGTGAATTACTAACCAAATAGCTTCTACAAAATGCCAGTATAATAGAGTGTATGATTCTAGTAAAGGTAATACTAGAATACTAGAAGAATTATATGTTCTAATTTGTGTATTTGCATTATATTGTAAACTACCTCTCCAGAATGTAAAGAATAATAAGATAGCACCAAGTAATACATGTGAGAAATGTAATCCTGTAATCCATAGTAAGTAAGTACCTAATACTCCATCATTAATAGAAATAGCTAGTCCTAAGTACTCACAAACTTGGATACTAGTAAAACATAGGGCAATGATTACTAAAGTAAGGAATCCTCTTTGGATATTTAGTATAATAGCTTTCTCTGAAGTTAAAATACCATATCCTAGAATTACACTAGCAGTAGATAGTAAGAATGTAATAGTTACAATAAGTCCTCTACTAGAGATACTTACAAGACCCTCAGTTGGACTTACTAGGGTGGAGTCTGTTACATAACTAGGAGATAGAATGCTGGTGTATGCACCCCAGAAGAAGCTAACAAATAGTAGTAACTCAGTACTAATAACACCTAAACAAATTGATGAAACCATAGAAGCTGATGTAGTACCAACTTCTCTAAAAGTAAAATTAAATAATACTAATACAGTGAGCAAGAATGGTGAAAATAGAAAACCAACTGTAAAATATCTTAAGGTAGTTGCATATAAGAAGGAAATTTTAGTATAAATTCTTAAATATGAGCAATTTGACATTAAATTTTTATAAAAACTGAGTCAAATCTCAAAGCACTAGAAGACATGTGATCTAATTTATCTAACTGGAAGATTGTAATATCGGACCGGACCTGAGAATGTTAAATAATTCTTGGAAGATTCATAATTAGCGGTTAAATGTCAATCATACATGATGATTTTAGGTTTTCTATGAAATCTATTCAGAAGAGAATTTTACAAAAAATATAATTTATATAATTTTTTAGGACATGCAGTAACCTTTCCGGTTGTTTCCATCTCGACTCTACAGTTTAACTTATGGAGTCCCTTTTGGTAAAAAACAGTACAAAGTTGGACTGAGGCTGAGTCTCTATGCCGAATTAGGAGCACTGGATTGGATACCCAGGTACCAGCGCTTCCATTAATAAGAAAGTGAGAAGATTGTTTGAATAGTTTGGCATTTCGTAGTGTAGTTAAAAAACGGAAAGCGTCTGTTGGATTCAAACGTAAGACACTGCTAACTTTGATGAGGAGGTATAGTTTATGACATCTGCCCGGCACCCTAACAAAAAACCGGTTTTTAACACGTCAATACATTCTCTTAACTTGCTGAGTGCTTGTGCGATAATTATATCATATTTTTTAGACGCTAACTTCCCGGCTAAACTTCCCTTATTTTTTGTCTAAGAAACACACTTCCCTTCTCGCCAGTTTTTGGCTAATATTTGACTTTTTGAACCAGCCTGGGATCATAAAATTCAGCCAGGGACCGTTCCATTGGGATCACGCATGGATTCAGTGTCCAGGACTACCTGACGCTTAGTAACGATTCCGTCTTCCAGCTGCCAATTTTTATTTCAAATGTTCCACTACCAAATTATATCCATATGTTCCAAATGTTCAGGAGTGTATGTAATAAGTTTTTGTTTTTGACAGCGGTTAACCTTTCCTTTTCCTTACGTACTCTAGCCAAAAAAATACATCTATTTGAAACAAGACTCATTTTTTGTTCAGCCACTGGTTCACCATCAACTACCTTGTTTCGACTTCGCACCGACTGTGTTTTTTTAACGTATCTTTTTTATTGAGGACTTTTCCAAATCTCTTCAAGGTCTGTCACCATAAACTTGAGATAAACCAAAATTTCTTTTTCAGGAGCAAACCGTTAAAATCGAAGACATTATATTTTATATAAAAGATAGCGTTATAGCTCAATTTTTTATTTGCCTAACGAGTCGCTCAAGGAAGATTTGATCCTTTTTTTTGTTTAAATAAGGCGAACATGAAACTTCACATGATACTTCGTTCTTAAATTATACAACCAATCATTTTTTAAAATGGCAGATAGGGAACAAACTGCCTCAAGACGTTCTTAACCCAGCTCACGTATCACATATCACGGTGAACTCTCGTTCCTAATTGAACCTTCTTCAAGTACAAGGGTGTGATGAGCCGACATGGAGGTGTTAATAGAATTCAAGGATCAGAGCTCCTGAAATTCTACGACCTGTTATCCCCGGCGTACCTTTTTACCGATAGAGTAACATGTTTTATGTATCTCCCGTTTTATCTTTGTATGGATTTCACGGTCAACTCTTTTTTTATAAAATTAGGGAATATAAAATAAATACAGTACTAATAGAACCAATAGAACACATTGTGTTCAAATAAGTTACATAGTCAGGATAATCAGGAATTCTACGTGGCATAACATTAAAACCTAATAGATGCATTGGTATAAATGTTAATAAAATACTTAATAAGAATACAATTGACCATACTTTTAAGTATGGAGAATCTGATGTATTTCTAGTAAAGACATTAGCTGTATAACCAAACATTGAATCTTGGTAATAGAAATATCCACAAATTAATCCAATTACCG